CAAACAAAAAAGTTCACCATTATTAATGACTTTTCCTCCAGCCATCCACTGCAGACTGGACAGACATAAAATCCAACACAGTAACTCAGGAAACAAGTGCATGGATGACTGTTTATGGCAGGAACCTTAAGAAAGCTCAAATATTATTAATAAAACTACACAATGATTATGTAGTGTTTTCTGACATTATAAAACCTATTTCTCAGCATCCAAAGCATTAATTTTCACATGACATTGGAGGAAAAGGAAAGAGATAAGAACTGGACAATCTCAGATATTTCTAAATATGTCCAAGGACACATATCAGTTAGAAAATAGAAAAGACTCTTACCTACTGTAAGTTTTGCAAACTCATCTGGAAAATTCTTTTCTAACCATTGTCTGCATTTAGTCACATCAGGCATGTATTCACAGTACTGGAGAAAAGCCATATGAATGTTGTTAGTGGAGGAATGACAAAATACTTCACAAATACACCAAAATAAGGCATAATAGGAGAGAGGGAAATTTGGACAACATAAAATTAACTCACCTCTGTTGGCAACGAACAGACTGGAGAAAAAAGGGGGGAAAAAAGAGCAGATTACAAAAGGGATTTTTTACTTTTTACGTTTTTACTTACAGCCTTAGTAATTAAATTCCAAATGGTGTTTTAAAGTCAGGGACGAGTTCTTACATAACTTCTGGTTATAACCACACACTGACTCAAAAACATTTCTTTATTGTTGCCACTCCACATTTAAATTCCTCTCTCATTAGACCTGTGCTCACATGCTCTGCATTAGGATAAAACCATCACAGCAAGAGCTGCCAGTCACTGAGGGAAGGGGAGAGGATGCCCAAGGCTGGGAAAAGCTGCAGAACAAAACATCACTTCTACCAGAGGGAAAAGAGACACTGAACAGGTGGTTTGATCAGCTTTCCTTTCTCCAAGAGCTGCCAATGTCCCAAAGAGGGGACACCCAAACCAACAGTGCAGACTTTTACACACAACAGGGCTGTTTCCTACTGCCCTGCAACTGTATTCCAGCCTGAAGCAAAATGACATTCCTATCTAAAAACACACCTGCCAAGATTATTTACTTCCCTTTAAATTCCACCCACTACACAACTACACACGGAACGAGTAAAGGATACTTGTAAAACACAATATAGCGATTTAATGAATTCAATTTCTTGCTATCATACTAATGCTCAGAAAATATTCCTTTTCTGTGCTAATGGCTTTAGTGGCTTCCTGCAGGAAGAGATCTGTGCTCCCACTCCTTTCACACCCAGGACTTGCCTCCACAGTAGAGGACCCGCAGGGGGTAATCGGCGTCAGACCTGGCACCGCTCCTGCCGTCCCCTCTGCAGTCAGGGACCACGGGCTCAGCCACATCTGTGGCCATGTCACAGGCCTGCAGGGCACAGGGTGAGACGATCAGGACCCAAAGTCTGCGTTTAAGTCAGGCACATCCCTCCCGACTCAACAAAAATCCCAGAGGAAATAGGTGCGAGTGTCAAAAGAGTGTGAGAGATCAGGGAGAAGAAAATGGGAGTCAAAAATAATGAAAACAAGGGGAAAACTTCTACAAAGGACATCAAAGAGTATTGGCATTCCAGCACATAAGGGGAAAGAAGCCAAAGTGCCACAAAATGAAGAAAGACCTTTCAGAAACCTACATGGAATTACAGAACACACTGGTTTAAGGACAACATAAAGTATCATGTTAAATCAGTGGCACAAGAATAGTGAGGGCACTGGGGGCAGGTACCTCTCGCATATTAATAAAGGAAAGGGATCATTTAAATCAGTGCCTGAAGAGTCACAATCTGATCCAAGTACACTGGGGGAAAAGAAACACAGTATAAAAAAAGGAAAGCAAACTCAAACCACTAATGGATTTAATGGTGGTTTACACACAGGTTTTCAAGCAAGGGACTTAGAAGACAGGAGCCAACAAGGAAAGAGTTTGGAACACACAAGAAATCCCCCAGGACGACGGGAACAAACAGGATATGTGTGAGGGACCTTCGGATGTTGTACAAGCTGTGCTGAACAGTGAGAAATGCTGAGGGAAAATTCCAGAGGTGGTGGATTCAGGGAAGGGGGACAAGGACAGGCGGTAGGTGGGCACAGGGCGGGTGAGGATGCTGGGGTGCTCATGAACACCCCAAACAGGCGCGGGGGGTGCTGGACGGTCAGGGGCCAGAAGTGAGGGCGGGTCGGGACACCAGACACGGTGAGGATCGCGGAGCCGGTGGGACGGGGGGAGCTGGGGGGATTTGTGGGGGCAGAATTGAGGGGATAGGGGGGAACCGAGGGGATGCGGTTCAGGTACCTGAGGAGGGGCGGGCTCGCAGGGCGGGGCGGTGCCGGGGCTGACGGCAAGGAGGGCGCCGGGAGGATGCTCGGTACAAGCACCGGGGGGATCGCTGCGAGGGGCGGCAGCGCCGCAGCTCCGGAGGAGAGGGAGCGGGCGGGTGTGGGAGCCGCCAGGCGGGGGCTGAGCGGAGCGGGGCGGGGGGACCCGGGGGCGGTGTCGGTGTTACCGGAGGCCCCTCGGGCCGCGGCGGGTCCCGGTCCCTCACCGCGCGCGCACGTGCGCCCGCCCCAGCGCCGCCGTCTCGCGAGAGGGGCGTGCACGGTTTGACCGCGCCGGCTCGCCGTACCGCGGCGGGCAGGGCCACGCGCTGAGCCGTCACGGGTTCAGGCGAGCTACGGGGCGCCGCAGCGGCCACTTCCCGCCGGGCCGCCGCAGCCATGCCGCGGTACGCGCAGCTGGTGATGGGCCCGGCGGGCAGCGGGAAGGTGAGCGGGGGAGCGGCGGGGAGCGGGCGGCGGGAGCCTGCTGACGGCTCCTGACGGCCGTGTGTGCTTTGCAGAGCACGTACTGCTCCACCATGGTGCAGCACTGCGAGGCGCTGGGCCGCGCCGTGCAGGTGGTGAACCTGGACCCGGCGGCCGAGCTCTTCAGCTACCCCGTCATGGCAGGTGAGCGGCGGCCCCCGGACAGCGCCGGGCTCGGCTGGGCTCCAAGCGGCCCGTGGGCTTGCTACCAGACAAGCTGTATTGGTCTAAAACGGAGCCCAGGCAGCAGTGAGGGAAGATGTTGGAAAATCGTTTTAACAAAATAGTGTGTGATCTTTGTATCAGTGAATAATTCTAGTCCGGTACCAAATAGTGCTCAGTGCCTATGTCAGAGATTAATGCAGTCTTGTAATAGGGATAACTCCCTACATCAGTCACTGTCCCTACTCTCTGTGCCAGTTCGTGCTTAATCCCTGTATTTACCTACACCAGTGATTGATACGTAGTGGCAGATGCTTCAGTTTTGAAAACATCAGTGTTTGTGTCTGTAAGATACAAAGATGATAAGAAAAGTGCATCTTGACCTGGCCACATCGCTGAGATACTTTCAGGAGAAGAGATTCATTAGAAGATTAGATGGATTCATCAGGTCCATCAGAGGGAAATCTGGGGAATGAGATGTTTCCCAGACAATCATCAGGAACCCTCAAAAGATTCCCCCCAAATAAGCCTGGGGAAGTATTTAGCATCTATTTATTTGGGGAATTAAGGCATTTGTGTAAGTTTCCTGAACATAACCTGTTCTGTTTGGCTGCTGGTTGTGCCTGTGCCAGGGAGATTGCCCTGCACCCAGCACTGCTGTAAAGTCGTGTTGGTTTTCTCAGCTGCCAAACTGCCTGCAGAGTTCATTTCCTGGCTTTGGTGACGTTTGTGTTGTCGCAGACATCCGCGAGCTGATAGAAGTGGACGATGTCATGGAAGATGAGTCCTTGAGGTTTGGCCCCAATGGCGGCTTAGTGTTTTGCATGGAATACTTTGCCAATAACTTCAGCTGGCTGGAGGAGAGCCTCGGGCACGTGGAGGATGACTATGTTTTGTTTGATTGCCCAGGTAAACACACGCCGATGTTTTGGTATCACCCTTCATAAGCACTGGAAAATTTGCAAATTGGAAAATTTTATTGTAGATGGCCTTGATAATTCCCATTTTGTTGAGCTTATAATATCTGTCAAGAGTCACTTTCAGGTGTCTCAGGAGTAAACTTGGTCCTGGGCTGATCTGGGTGACTGCACAGATGTTTGGTAGCATCATGAGCTGTGGCAACTGCAAACTAACACTGACTGGAGACAAAAGGAGGAAAAGCCCCCTTTTATTTCTTTTCCACATCAGCCAAACACAGTCAGAGCTGCCTAAAAAGAGAGTGCTTTCTTTATCAGTTTTTATTTAAGTGCAATTCCCACGTCTATATATAACTGTGGACTGTTTCCTGTTTGCTTCACATTCCTGCCTGTTAATATCCTGAGTGTGCCCCAGGTCAGATCGAACTCTACACGCACCTGCCAGTCATGAAACAGTTGGTGGAGCAGCTGCAGCAGTGGGAATTCCGTGTCTGTGGAGTCTTCCTTGTGGATTCTCAGTTTATGGTGGAATCTTTTAAGGTATCCATTTGAAATCTGTTGATAAAGTTCCTTTTTATAAAGAACAAGTCTGAGCCATTCAGGGAGCTGGGTTTGCCCAGAGGAAAAATTGCCAAGTCCAGGGAGATCTGGTTGCTGTCATCAGCTGCCTCAGACACAGCTTGCAGCAAGGACAATCCCAGATGGATGTAAAGACAAGCAGCACTGTCAGAGTGGTCAGACTGGGACAGGCACAGAGGGATTGTGCAGTGAATGTTCACAGAGTCACAACTTGACTGGGCAAACCCCAGAGCAGCCTGGTCTAACCTAGAAGTGCCTCGATTTGAGCACAGATAACCTCCAGAAGCCCCTTCCAACCTAAATTCTTCTGTCATTCCACAAGAGTTTTCTCAGATCCCAAGGACAAGCAGGCTACCTTCCCCATTAGCAGTAACTGTCCCAAGAAGGGTTTGGGTTTTCTTAATGCCCTTTTCAGTGGCAGATCCATATTTGAGGCTCCAAAAATTGAGGAGGTACTTGGCCCCTCCTTTTTCCAACAGAGAGAATGATTCCTCATATGGTTTTGTGTCCATGTTCCATATATTCATTACCAGATTTGGCCTGTGGTTGAGTGTCCTGTGTGATTGTGTTGTGTTTTTCTGTACTTTAATACATCATTTTTCATCCTCTTTAAGTTTATTTCTGGAATCCTGGCAGCTCTCAGTGCGATGATATCTTTGGAGATTCCACAGATTAACGTCATGACCAAAATGGATTTGCTGAGCAAGAAAGCCAAGAAGGAAATAGAAAAGTAAGTTCCAAAAAATTATTTACTCTGTAGTATAATATACTGAGGCAAAGTTCACTGGAAGTGCAGTGTAATGTTTCCCACAATTAAAACATACTCTTTTGAAATGGGAGAAGATGGTTTTGTTTATTTCAAACAATAATCTTTAAACATCTGGGTAGGATGCTTAGTTTAGTCAGAGTCAGAAGAATAGCTCCATGTTTGTACTGATCTCTGGATTGTTCTGTAAATAATTATCCTGGATCTTTTGTGTCATTCTGAATGACAGGCTTTCAGTGTTGATGATGACTTTCTTTCTCCAGGTACTTGGATCCAGATATGTATTCTATGATTGAAGATTCTACAAATATATTGAAAAGTAAAAGGTTTAAAAAACTGACCAAATCTATATGTGGATTGGTAGGTATATTGCTTTTGAGCTGGTACCCTAAAATTCACTATCACTTTTTGCCTCTTTTAACTCAGTTCTTAATTTTTTCAGATTAGCAAGAGATTCTTGATACTACTGATATGATACTCTTGATATCTGGATTATAGCAAATAGATTTTCTTTGAATTCTTTTCTGTTTTCAATTTTGGGAATTGGCTTTTGCTACTGTGGGAGTGGTAGGTGTTCTGAGCAGGGAATTGCTATTGGTTTGCAGTGTGACTTTAAATGGTATTTTAGAAGTCCAGACAAATGTGGTTTAAGGAAGTGGCTTAGAGTGCTGTGGCTGAAAATTGACTTTCTGCATTTCCCTACCAACATCCTTTGAATCGTTCTACAGATTGATGACTATGGCATGGTTCGATTCCTGCCTTTGGATCGCTCTGATGAGGAAAGTATTAACATTGTTCTGCAGCACATAGACTTCACCATTCAGTATGGAGAAGATCTGGAATTTAAAGAACCAAAGGTAAGGGAGCATTGGTGAGAAGATGAAAAATTAGGAAGTATCCTTAATATAAGTTGTAATATAAATATGTTCTTTGCCTTGCTAATCAATTATTAGATTAAAAATCAGATTTTTTTCCTGCATTACAGTTCAAAGTCTCCTGATGATTCCTGTGTTCAACCGAGGAAGGTTTATATTTTTCTGTTTTTTTTTTTTTTTTCAGGAATGTGAAGAAGACAAATCTGCCCTTGTGGATGAATACTTTCAAGATCGTGTGGATGAGTAAAAAACATGTTCAAACTGGGAGGAAAATACTTCACTTTTCGTAAAAAATAAAAAAGAAATTAAAAATCCCCAACCCCTACACAAAACCACTTGATGTTTTATCTGTAAAATAACTAATATTTATAGTGGAGCGTGAGTTACATGACCTCGTAACTACTTTAATAAACAAATTTTTTTTCTTATGCTTGTGTGTGTCAGTACATATAAAAGAGCCACAACTGGGAAAGAGGTTCAACAGATAAGCAAATCCTGCATATCTAGAGGAAAAGGGCTCAGAAAAAGCTGTATGTGGCAGATCTTGATCTGGCTGAATTAAACCATTCAAAAGTTGGGTAAACTACCGTGGTTTACCTCACCTCCAGACTGCCATTGGGAGGAGCCATGCTCAGGGCGTGTTGAAATGATAAACCTCAGCCCTGCAGTTGAATTACTGTGACTCACCTTCCAAACCTCCCCATTTTGTCTCCCTGACTCATGCCGAGTGTCGGACAGCAGGTGACAAATTCAGCATTCAACGTCACAGGGACGGTAATGGATTGATAGCAATTGGAGTGTGCACCTTAAAATATGGTGTCCCTCTGAACACAACGCGTTTGGACCCCTTTTGTGCCTCCTTACACGAAGTGCCCGGTGCCGCCGGCTGGGCTGGGCTGGAATGGCACAGGAGAGAAAACAGCTGCGAGCGAAGCATCCCGGAACCCCTGCCCCGAGCGGGCGGTGTCTGACAGCGCTGCCTCCCGGGATGCCCTCCCGGTACCGGCAGTGCCCTGGTAGAGCAGTGCCTCTCCGTGGCCCTTTCCCCGTACGGGCAGTGCCCGGGCACAGCGCTGTCTCTCGGGATCCCTTCCCGGTGCGCTGCCTCCGGGGCGGTGCACGGCTCCCGCTTCCCCTCCTCGCACCGCCTCTGCCGCTGCCTCATTTCCTGCAGCGTAGGCGGAGGAGGAAGCTCTGTGCCCGCTTTCCTGGCCGGTTCGCCCCGCTTCCCCTCCCGCTCGGCCCCGCCGAGCCGCCTTCTGTCCTTCGAGATGCCGGTGAGCGGCTCCGCGGCCGGCGCTGCGCGGCCCCGGCGGCGGCAGCGCGGGAGGAGGGCGCGGGGCGGCGGGACCGGGCCGGGCGCGGCGGGGGCGATCCCGGGCCGGGGAAGGGGCTCTGCTGCGGGGTCTGACTGCGGGTACTGCGGGGGGAAAGAGGGGCTGCAGCTGCGGGGAGCGCTGCTGAGAACGGGGAATGGCTGCTAATGGGTGGCTGCTGCAAGGCCAGCGCCTTCCTCTTCCTCCTCGTCCTCCTGCCAGGGATCCACCCGCAGCCGGGAGGGTGCGAGCAGTGGGGGAGAGGGCGGTCACAGCAGGGCTTTGCTCTGGCTTTGTTTACACCACCTTCCTCTCAATGAAATAAACTGCTTTTTAAACCCAGCCTCCCCCAGTCACATCCTCCTCTGTCCCCCACAAAATACGTGAGGGATTCCCAGTGGCCTGGCACAGTACCCAGAAAATGTTTGTAAAGTGCCTAAAACTAAACTCATTAGTTGTTTAAAATCAGTCTTCTAGGAAGAATTTGTTAGATGCAGAAAGCTGGTTTGTTTTTCACTTAAATCAGTTTTGTTGGTTTGTGGGGTTTTTTTTACTGCTTTAAGCCTGGCTTTATTTATAATTATCTACTATTAATAGCCAGACATGGAAATAAATTACATATTTTTTAATGACCAACTAACTTTCAGTGCAATGCCCCAAAACTCAGGCAGGTGAGTGGGGCTGTTACCCCTTGGTTCTGCCAGGATGGGGTCAGGCAGCCTGGGAATGAACTGAGCCTGCAGACCAAAACCACAGATTTTATGCCATCTCCCACCACTGTGACTGCAAGTACTGGCAGTGGTGGTGCTTTCCTGGCATTCACCAGAATGGCACCAAAATCTGGACCTAAATAGAAAATAGCAATTGTTTGTGCAAGGAAAAAATGCTGGAAGCATCCTAATGAACTAGGCTGTGACCCTTGTTTGATGAAGATGTGACTGGATATGGAAATATCTATTTTCAGTAGGATCAATAACCAGCTCTCCCTGTCTCTAGGCTTACCACTCCACTTTAATGGACTCGGACACCAAGCTAATTGGGAACATGGCACTGTTACCCATCAGAAGCCAGTTCAAGGGCCCAGCACCTCGAGAAAGTAAGTTTATAATATTCCCTGAATTACTGGATGTAGCTCATCATCTCAGGGGTTGCTCTAAGCCAACCCCATGCAAAGTGGCCAGAAGAGTCACCAGTGGGAAATGGAGTTTAGAGCAGAGGAAAGTTTTCAACTACTTCAGTTGTGCAAATCGTAGAAAATAATTATGCACAGATATCTGTGCTCTGTGTTCTGCTGAATTAGTTTCAGTAATCCAAGCCTCTGGTTGCTGTTCTGGTGCTTCCCCCGTGCTCCTGAGCAGGGTTTTGAGGAGGCTGTGGTGGTGTGAGGCCTCTGTGTCAGAGGAAGTGGGGGTTTAGCTGCACAGAGCTCGTGCTTTGGGTTGCAGCCGGCCGTGCTCGGCTGCTCTGAGGGACAGCAGCACTTAAGGGTGTGGGGCTGAAAAAGCTGAAATGAAGTTCCAGGCACAGGGCAGGGCCCACAGACAGTTGGGTACAGACTCCCCTTCAACTTCCAAGGTGTAGTCCCCAGAAATGTGGCAGTTCAGTTTGAAAAGGGAAACGTAAAGGGAGTGCTTCTGGATTGGTAGCAAAAGTCAGATTGTCACTGTGTTCTGCTGCCCTCCTTTATTTGAAAAGGACAGTGCAATCTGAGTGATTGTGCTGGTATGCTTTCTCCAAAAACATTTTTTTCTATCCTTTCATGATGTTAAAACTCTGATGAGTTACTCAAAAGTGGTAGAAAAGTGGGGAACTGCTGAATTACTGCTGTTTGTGAAGTGACATATCACAGGGGAAGGAGAAGGGAGTAGGAAGCTGAAATATTACAGTCTGAACTGATGGTGTTTCTGAAGTTTTCTGTTATGTGGTGCTGACTTCTGCTTTTTGTAAATACCATGGTTTTGCTTTTGCAATAATCCTTATTTATGTATTTCAGTGAGTAAAACTTATGACAAATGTAGTGTAACAGTGCACTGCTTAACTCTGTATCCCTTTTTTATTAGCTAAGGACACAGATATTATAGATGAAGCCATCTACTACTTCAAAGCTAACGTTTTCTTCAAAAATTACGAAATTAAGGTAATTTTTTTGAGATACTGAGCATATTCTAGTTCTTTGGAGGGTTGGTGCTGTGAATATAAATTTATTTTCAAGGAAATAATTCTACAAGATCACAAAAACTCCCCTTCCACTTAATCTTTAAAGTAGGGTAAATGTCATGAATTGCAAATCTCTCTCTCATGGGGAAACAAAATGGCTTGAATTAATTCCTGTTCCAGGCTTTATCAGTTCCACAAAGTCCTGTAAGCTAAGAGTTCTTGCTCTTGTTTTGCAGAATGAGGCTGACAGAACGCTGATCTATGTGACTCTCTACATTTCTGAGTGCCTGAAAAAGCTGCAAAAAGTAAGAAAACTGAATTTCTGTGCAGGTGGGAAACAGTCTGTTGTGAGGAAAGGATTTCCTGATATTATTTTTCCAGGGGAACAAATAATCCTGTTCACCCCCGTCCCAGTTGTCAGGGCCTCAAATACTCCGAGGCTGTGGACGTGCTGTGTTGCTCTTCTTGATGAGTTTTCATGTTCCAGATTTGTAAAATATTTGGGTCTAATACTGTGTCAGCTTTTGTTCATAGCTGCTAACCTATTGTTTGCCTGGTTCTTCCAGTGTAACTCCAAAGGCCAGGGAGAGAAGGAAATGTACACACTAGGAATCACTAACTTCCCAATCCCAGGGGAGCCTGGCTTTCCACTTAACGCCATTTACGCCAAACCTGCCAACAAGCAGGAAGAAGGTAAGGCTGACCCAGGGTCTCTGAGGGTCACACTTTATTAACTGCACTGTTGTGACTGCAGTTAGAAAAATTACTGTTAAACCTAAATCTTCTAAATCTGCAGTCTGTCTTCTGAAGGCAGCACAAGCTGGATTTTCTGACCTTGGGGATTCCCCAGGATCCATAGGTGAATTGGGCAAATCAACTCAGCCAGCTGGGAGTCCCTGCAGATGTGAAACTCCCTCTCTGCTTTAAGCAGTGATGTCTGATGCCTCCAGTTAAATCCAGTTTGAGTTGGTGCTGCCCAGTTTACCCTGGTTTTGCTTGCAGAGGTGATGAGGGCCTACCTGCAGCAGCTGAGACAAGAAACCGGCCTTCGCCTCTGTGACAAAGTGTTTGATCCTCAGAGTGACAAGCCAAGCAAGGTAAGAGTTCAGTGTGGCATCACCACAGAGTTAATGAGAGGTTGGGGGTGTTTTCCCAGCCACGTGTGGAGGGACGTGAGGTGATGGGGTGAGGGTCAGGGGTGGGTAACTTCAGCCAAGCCTGTCTGATTTTCCAGTGAAGTGGCAGCTGCAGGTTATCAATAAATTTAATGTAATGTGGTATGACAGTGAATGCCAGTTTGGGTTAGTTTCAAAAGCAGGGCAGTAATAAGAGGTGTCTGGTTCAGCTCTTCAAAGCACTGCACATCTGCTCTTGGCTGGGGTTGCAAATGGAGTTCACAAGCACAAGAGGTGCTGTTTCTCTTCCCAGGCAGCTCTGATTTGAGAGCTGCTTTGAAGTCGATTGTTTAACCTCATATCCAGATGGAAAAAAATCACTAATCAATGAATAAGTCACCTCCAGAGTGTTCACATGTTTCATGTGCAAATGTGACTGCATTTAATATTGAAATTACTTAGGCTAATTTAGTTTCAAAGGCATAGCTTCCTGATGCATCCCTCATTTATTATTATATTGGAATAAAATACAATAAAAGTAAAATAAGAGAAAGTAGAATTTCCAGTTTTCATTCAAAGTCCTGTGATATGAACTCGTTGTGTCCATTCCTATTGTCTTGTTCACCTCAATTCCAGTAGAAACCAGTGTGGAAAACTATGTGTAAAACTGGAGCCTTAATATTTGTTGTGTGTCAGAGACTGAATACTTTAAAGTCACTGGAAACCACTTCTGCAGATTTTCTGACTCTGTGCTTCCTTCTGCAGTGGTGGATCTGCTTTGTGAAGAGGCAGTTCATGAACAAGAGTCTCTCAGGCCCTGGGCAGTGAAGCAAAGTGGCAACAACCTTAAGCATTTCCACAGCAAGATGTTCAAGTCTTTTGCCTTTGTTTTGGATACATTTTGTACCAAGGAAGAATTAAGTGCTAATGAAGTAAAAAAAAAGAAAAAAACAAGAAAAAAACCAAACCTGTCAATGAGTGATAGAGGGAGGGAGAGCAAAAAGATAAGTTGTGTAAGCAAATATTATTAAGCTGGTGCTTAATAAGTGATTTCTAATGTGCTGTTTCAGATGCAAGCTGCTTTGTAATCGTGGCTACAGCATTTAAAACAGGGCTTGTATTTAAGAGAAGAAATGGGCTTGGCTGTGGGGCAGGGGAGCTGTGTCATTGCTCTGCTGGCTGGAGTCTGGGTGTTGTAATGTCCAGGGAAAACAGACCTCTCACGCTGTGTTGTCCAGTGCAGTGATTTTTACCTTGTTTTCAATAAAATTCGCTTGTAATTAATGTGGTAACTACTGTGTGTCTTATGGACAGCCTTCATAGAAATCAAAGAGGTGGGTTTACTTTGTTTTGGTTTGGTTTTGGGGTTTTTTTTGTGAAAGGCTTTGGGGTAACCTAATTGTGGCCTTTCAGGACTTGAAGGGAGCCAACAAGAGCCTGGAGTGCCAGGAGAAGGGGGAATGGCTTTGAACTGGCAGAGGACAGGTTTAGATTGGATTCTGGGAAAAAAAATCTTGCCTATGAGGGTGGTGAGGCCCTGGTACAGGGTACCCAGAGAAGCTGTGGCTGCCCCATCCCTGAAGTGTCCAGGGCCAGGTTGGATGGGGCTTGGAGCAACCTGGCACAGTGGAAGGTCTCTGCCCATGGGTGGAACGAGATGATTTTTAAGGTCCCTTCCAACCCCAAGCATTCTGTGATTCCATGATTTCTGTGTAACATTCATCAGTAGGAAGTGAATAATTCTCACTGAAAACTGGGATTAATAGAGGGCGTGCAGTTTGCAGCCATTTACCTGTTTATTGAGCAGGCTGTCTCTGCAGAGCTGTGCTCCTGAAGAGCTTTCACAGGATAACACAGGCAGATCCCACAGCTGGGTCTGTGGCTGCCTTCCTGATGGTGCATTCAAACACTCACAAACTGCTAAAAAGCGGCTGTTGTGATGATTTCTGGAAAAACACAAATCCACTTTTAGTTTATTCAGGTTTTGTTGACTGTGACACGAGTCATACCAACACATTTTTAGTGTTACCTAAAACCCAGTGCTGGTGATGTTTTGCTGCCTGGTGTATTTGCTGAGAGCCGTGTTCCTCTCCCAATAGCAGTGATGGCATGTCATACTGAATTTTTAGGAATAGGATAGCCGTGTTTTAAAATATTTTTGTAAAGGTGGGAAAATAAAGTTTATTATTCATCTCTCAGTCTATCCCTGTAGTTAACGGTAGGCCTAATGAGGCATTTCCCAGAAGAAATGTAGGTTTTAGAAGGTCTCCTCCGTTACCAATTTTCATAGGTAGCGTCGTTACCTCGGAGACCTCAGTCACATTTAACTGCAGCAACCATCAGCGTATTCGCAGAAGGACAAGGGGAGGATTCGGGAGCTGTGGAGGTACTAGGAGCGTGTGTCCTGCACAGAGCACGCTCAGAGGAGCCCATCCCCTCACAGCGGTGCTCGCACTCCGCTCTCCCCTCACGGCCGTTCCCGCCGCCGCGGGGGGGTCCTCGGCCAGGGCTGCCCTCCGCGCGCCTGTCGGGCCGCGCGGGCAGTGCCTTGGCCGCCTGCAGGCGGCGGCGCGCGAGGACCCCTCGGTGGCGCCATTTTGGAGTGGCGGCGGGCGGCGGCGGCAGCTCCGTGCCCGGTGTTTCGCTTGGGGTCTCTCCCGGTTCCCCCTCCCGCCCTGTCCCGTCCCCTCCGCCCCCGCCCGCGGCAGAATGAGTGTGGTGGAGCACGTGCGCGAGATGGCGGCCGCCGGGCTGCACTCGAACGTGCGGCTGCTCAGCGGGCTGCTCCTCACCATGAGCGGCAACAACCCGTGAGTGCCCCGCCGGCAGGGGGCGCGCGCGGGGCGCGGAGCGTGGGGGGAGCGGGGCCGCCTTTGGGCTGTCCCTGTCCCTGTCTCGGTGCTGGCTTTCCCCTTTCCTGTCCCTGTCCTGGTGCTGGCCTTCCCCTCTCCTGTCCCTGCCGGGGATGGAGACCGCCTCTGTTCGGGTATCAGCATCAGCGTCCCTTTGGGGTGCCCGCTACAACATGGGTGTCCTGGCAGAGGATCACAGACTCACCGAAGGGACCTTGAAGATTGTTTTGTTTCACCCCTCCTGCCATGGGCAGGGATGCCTTGCACTATCCCAGGTTGCTCCAAGTCCTGTCCAGCCTGGCCTTGGACACTTCCAGAGATGGGGCAGCCACAGCTTCTCTAGGCAACCTGTGCCAGGGCATCCCCACCCTCACAGGGAAGAATTTTTCCTAAAATTTAAACCTGCCCTCTGTCACTGTGAAGTCATTCCCCTTGTCCTGTCGCTCCAGGCCCTTGAAAATCTTGAAAATCTCTGTGTTTATTGTTGGCTCCCTTCAGGTCCTAGAAGGCCACAGTTGGCTCATTTGGTTTGCACACATACTAAGAGTGTTATAAAGGGGGTCTGTATAATGTAGGAATAGGGATTAGGACCAGAACGGCTGAATAAAGAGCTGGTTTGCCTTTTAAACTTGAGTCCATTCAAACAAAACTCTGTTCTGAAATCTGAACAGGCAAAATGCTCGATCCTTACCTAATAAAAGGGGAATGAATCCTAGGAGAAAGTTGGTGCAGTGTAAAGCATATTGACAACCTGTGGCTTGTTAAGGAAAGGATGGGGCAGTGGCCAAGCAGCCAAACATTGAGCTGCTGATGCTGATGAGGTGTCAGGAGTGGCTTTTGGATTTGTTTGTTTACAGATAAAAGAAATTGGTGAGATAACCCCTGTGTGAGGAGTCAGTGCTGTTACTCAATGGTCTTTCCAGTGCAATAAAGAAGCTGCAGCAGTTGCAAGTTGAAGCTAGACAAACCAAAGCTATGAATACTTTGAATCTGTAAGGTTTTGATTCTTGTGCGGCCATCTGATCTCAGCCTTTCTGTCTGCATTTCTTCTAGGGAACTGTTCTCTCCCTCTCAGAAGTACCAGCTCCTTGTCTATCATGCAGACTCCCTCTTCCATGACAAGGAATACAGGAATGCTGTCAGCAAGTACACGATGGCCTTACAGCAGAAAAAAGCCTTAAGTAAAACCTCCAAAGTCAGACCTTCTACTGGGAATGCTGCATCAACACCCCAAAGCCAGGTATTTAAGAATTGACAATGTGCTGCATAAAGTCATCACGTTCCCCCTTCCAGTTAATGTTGCTGACTCAATATTTACAGAGTCACTGAGGCTGGAAAAGATCCTTAAGACTGAGTCCCTGCCAAGTCCATCACTAACCACATCCCTGAGCATCACCTTTACATTTCTGTTAAAAACTTTTGATTGTGCATTTGTCATATGTCAAATAAACCTGACATAATAATTTAAGGTTAATTAGTTTGCTGATATCTGTGGTGTTTTCTAATGCAAAACTTAAAATAGTTTCTGACATGAAGTTTTTCTGTATGTGTACTTCATACTTTTAATTTGAGGACAGGAACAATATGAACTAGCAGTAAGTTGCATTGTTAACTTACATGCACCAGATATTTTTCAACACAGTATAAATATTTATGAGGAAACCTTATTAAAAGTTTCACATCTGATTAAACCAACATCGTATTTAAATCTTCCATTTTTGTTTCAGTGTTTACCATCAGAAATTGAAGTGAAATACAAAATGGCTGAATGTTACACAATGCTGAAGCAAGATAAAGATGCCATTGCTATTCTTGATGGGATTCCTTCCAGGCAGAGAACTCCAAAGGTGAGTTCTGGCAGGTTTTAGTCACAAGTTCTTGGTCACTGTATCTCTAGGGCACAGCATAGTATATAGGTTTAATTGGCATTTGGTAGCATAATGTTTGGTAGTATTTCCTAATTAGAATTTAAGAATTTAATGTTAGAATTTAAAGAAAACAATGAAAAGAGTTAAATGTTTTGTGCATCTTTATTAACTTTTTGTATAGTTTGAGCAAAGCCAAATCCTTGAAAGGCTGGAGACTTTGGCAAGTAGAAGGTTTGCTAGTGCTCCATCTTTTAAAATCTTTTAATCCTTTTGAACAACAGTTTAGATAATGTTAAATATTTAGATCCCTTTGTGGTCTGCAGTGCCAAATCTGTGGAGTCTTTGCTTGCTGGCTCTGTTACTCAGAAGGGCTTAAAAGATTAACACATCAGATCAGTCAAGTATGTTTCATGTTAAATTGCCCTAAAAGTGTACATGGCTTAAACTCCAGTTAATGTCAGAATGTTTTGACCAACTTGCAGAACAGGAAAAAAAAAGAAAATATTGAGAAAAGCAAACTTTTTGCCTATATAGACCAGTAAATGAAAGTGCTGCAGCAGAAACCAGCTGCTTGTGAGGAGCTCAGATAATTGCTGTTCTTTGGTCAATCACAGCTTCATTCAGAAGCTGAATGGAAACTTTCTCTCCCTTGCTAAGCTAATTCAAGCACTTCCATGGATACAGAGGGATTCCTGGAAGGGACTAATTAATGGATGTACAGATCCTTCTTGGCATCGTGTACGAGCACTTGCCCATCTTTTGATTTCTTTGATGTACTGTGCACGTACAAAAGAATAAAAGAATTTTATTTCTGTTCTCAGAAGGAAGCCACAGTTTTCATTTTGTACTATGTGGAGCCTTAGAGTGTTCTCAGAAATGCAGGTTATTTGTCTTCTGCCCAGAACAGAGGCAGGCAGGCAGGCTTGAAGACAGAGTTGTGACTTTTCTTAGTGATTCTTTCTCCTTCCTCACCCTTGACTGTCCCCACATTTCTGCTGTCTGCAGATCAATATGATGCTGGCAAACCTCTACAAGAAAGCAGGCCAGGAGCGCTCCTCGGTGACGAGCTACAAAGAGGTGCTGAGGCAGTGCCCCTTGGCCCTGGATGCCATCCTAGGTGAGTGTCTGCACACTGTGAGCACTGCAGTGTTCAGCCTGTTAGAACTTTAATTACACTTCTGTAACTGTCTTGTATTTGCATGTCATACCCACATTATAGAAATTGTAACAAGCCCTGTAACCGGCTGTTTGTGCTTGTCAAGGGACGGAGTTTCTGCTCCTCAGACAATTTGTATCAAAAGCAATTTTGGGTGGCTGAGATTGATGTATGAACCCCTCTAAACAGGCTTGCTCTCGCTGTCGGTGAAGGGAGCAGAAGTGGCCTCCATGACCATCAACATCATCCAGAGCATTCCTAACTTGGATTGGCTCTCTGTGTGGATCAAGGCATATGCCTTTGTGCATACTGGAGACAACACCAGAGCAATCAACACCATTTGGTAAGAGTTGAAAGAGCATGGTGCAATCAAATCACAAATAAATTCTTATATATTATGATATTCAAAATGTCATTCATAAATAATGGGCATTTTTTCCCCTTTAAGCTCTTTAGAGAAGAAGTCGTTGCTGAGGGATAATGTGGACTTGCTGGGGAGCTTAGCAGACCTGTACTTCAGAGCTGGAGATAATAAAAACTCCATTCTAAAATTTGAACAAGCACAAATGCTGGATCCTTACCTAATAAAAGGTGAGTAAATCCTAAATCCTGAGAGAAGGTTGACCTGAAGAGTAACAGCTCCATGCAGTGGACTATTGTATATTGTTTACCCAGCATTCGGTTCAGAATTGACATTGAATGAAACTGCATGTCTTGAACCCTTCCAGGTAGTTGCACAGTTTAAAGTAGGTGTTGGTGGTTTTTGTGGCTTTTTTTTCTTGTGAATGAAGTTTCCATTTCCTGAGGACTGATCCCCCACCGTGTCTCTTTAGGAATGGATGTCTATGGTTATTTATTGGCACGTGAGGGCCGGCTGGAGGATGTGGAGAACTTGGGCTGCCGGCTCTTCAATATTTCTGACCAGCATGCAGAGCCCTGGGTGGTATCTGGGTGAGTTGTTTGGTTTCCTTTCTCACCTCAGCTCTGGATTTGCTGAATGTAGTGGGTTACAGCTGACACGGTGGGTTCAGCTTGTTTTGTTCAGAAGGTGCTTTTATTTCCTGTCTGTTCCATTCTTGAGTAACTTGTATTAACTCTGTAAATATCTATAGTGTTTGTTTTCTGTATGTTTGAGTTGCACACCTGTGCAATACCAGCAATATATTAAACAGTTTTAATATTTATATTGAGGTTTTAAACATTTCTGAAGAAGTTTTTTTTCTTAACTTCAAATGCAAGAAATTCAAAACCCCCATGACTGTGCGCAGGCACCGCAGGCAGTGCACATTTACAATCCCTCTCCTTTCTCTGTAGGTGTCACAGTTTCTACAGCAAACGATACTCCCGTGCCTTATACTTGGGAGCCAAAGCCATCCAGCTGAACAGCAACAGTGTCCAAGCGCTGCTGCTGAAGGGGGCGGCTCTGCGCAACATGGGCCGGGTGCAGGAGGCCATCATCCACTTCCGGGAAGCCATCCGCCTGGCGCCCTGCCGCCTCGACTGCTACGAGGGTGAGCCACGGGCAGCTGCTCTCAGCTGCTCCCTGGGAGGGTTGGTGTCCTGCTGGTGATGAATCAAGGGAATGGACAGCAGTTCTGCCCTCCTGTTGGCTTTCTAGTAAATTATTATTATCCCCAAAATGATGTGAGCTGGTGAGGGGTGCGAGAGAAGGCGTGGGTTTGTAAGAATGATTTTCAAGAAAGGGGTTTTCTTGGTTTTTGTTTTGTTTAATCTGGATGTAAACAAACTTGGGTGTTTTGAGCAGCTCACTTTTGGATTATGACGTTAACTGATGGTTGTTTTGTCGTACTTGTTTAAATATTTAAATCTTGTTGATCTCAATGGCAGCTTCAAGTAGTGAAGTGTTAATTATCTCAGTATTGGAATTAGACAAAAACATAAGATTAGGTGTACTTAGGGTTGAGGGGTTTTTTTCAGTGCCTGACCATTAATAAACATCAAGTCAATTATCCGTAGAATGAGTATGTTGGCATGCATAGATTCACTTTCTCAACTGCAATTTATATTTGCTTATTGGAGTGTCAGCTGTTCAGTGCTACTAAGTGCAAATAATAGTGGAGGGGTGAGTGCCTGTGGTGCTGACTCAAGCCCTGAAGTGTTTCCATCTGACATCACCAGGTCTCATCGAGTGTTACCTGGCATCCAACAGCATCCGTGAAGCCATGGTGATGGCAAACAACGTGTACAAAACCCTGGGGGCAAACGCACAGACCCTCACCCTGCTGGCCACAGTCTGCCTGGAGGACCCAGTCACGCAGGAAAAAGCAAAAACATTGCTGGATAAAGCTCTCACACAAAGACCTGACTATATTAAAGCTGTGGTAAAGAAAGCAGAACTTCTCAGTAAGTTCGTTTTTCCCCCGTGTTGGTTTGTTTAAAGATACCCTTGTACATGGAAGGGTGTTCTGGAGCCACATCCATGTGAAGGATGTAACAATGATGATACAGTCCAGGGGTTTATCAGTTCTGTCCTGAAGGAAAAATCACAGGAATCTATTGCATCCAGCAGCTGATATTACACTTAAAGCAATTGCAAACAAAATGTTTTGACTTCAAAGTAGATGTAATTGTAACTGTAACAGCTGTGGCAACAAAAATTGTTTAGAGTTAATCTTGCAAGAAGCAGAGCATTGCTGTCCTTGCTGACAGGTCTGGGGGGACAAACAAACAGCCTTGTGTTGGGAAGACTGTGAACACTGTGACTTTTTATAGATTTCTCTCAACTATTGATTAAAACAGTAGTGTTGCCTGTGAACAGGTAGAGAGCAGAAGTATGAAGATGGGATTGCCCTGCTGAGGAATGCCCTGGCCAACCAGAGTGACTGTGTCCTGCACCGCATCCTGGGGGACTTCCTGGTGGCTGTCAACGAGTACCAGGAAGCCATGGACCAGTACAGCATAGCCCTGAGGTAAAGTACACCCTGAGGCTGCAGGAGGTTTATAAGAACCAATAATCAGTAAAAAGATAAGCTACTAATTGATTAGGATGAGAAACAGAGGTGGCTTTGTATCATTCTCCCTTAAAACAAGCAAAACCACACAAATGACACCCTGTTCATGAATTGGTTGGTCTTAAGACTTCTAACTGAGAATGCAAAATGTAGGGACTGTGTTAATGCTAAATATGTCACTAGGCTTGTGATTCCTTGACTAACAAAAGGATTAAGGCATGGAATTATTTATGGTTACTAATTATTTTATAGTCACTAATTATTTTATAGTCAGACTTTATGATCCATTCCTTTACACTAGAAAGTGCATATAAAAATGAGCTGTTCGATAAATTTAAGTAGTATGATTCAACTTAACATAATCTAAATGCTATTTTAGGGTGTTGCTTTGTTAAATATTCCCATGTTTTGATTGCAACATCTTCAACTTGCCTTAAACCCAGCACATTATGTCCGCTGCAAACTTGCATAGCTTAAATGGGTCAGCTGGTTTTTGCCTGCATAGATTATATTTAGTCAGAGTCATTTACATTTTTACTGCTTTCATGTTACTTTATAATTAGTATTGTTGGGAGAAGTGACTAAGTTTTCTGGAAGAGTGGGATGTTTAGATAAACGCGTTCTTGGGGATCAGAACTGTTTTATAAAGAGATTGAAGACTCAATGTTACAGCAGCTCAAGAGGAAGTTGCATCATCATCTAAAATAAGCTTCCTGATGATGTTAAACAGGAAATGCAGACAACAGGATGAGATTTTATTGTTACTCTGAGGCGACAAAGAGAAAAAGTTTCAAGACAATGCTTAGTTTTTCTTCCTTTCTTCAGTTTGGATCCAAATGATCAGAAGTCACTGGAAGGATTGCAGAAAATGGAAAAAGAGGAAAGTCCAACAGATGCCACCCAGGAAGAAGATGTGGATGACATGGAGGGAAGTGGAGAAGAGGGGGACTTGGAAGGCAGTGACAGTGAAGCAGCTCAGTGGGCAGATCAAGAGCAGTGGTTTGGGATGCAGTAAAAGCCTCCTGCTGCTTGGTTTGAACACACCACTAGGGCCACTCTTCTTAGAAGAACAGAAACTATGATTTGTTTCCAGTAACAAAGGACATTTTTTTGTTTGTTTTTTAATAGACTCTGAAACCAATTAATAGTTCTGTGCATCTCAATACTGTGGAGATTCCTGATGCTTCTTTATTTATTAAGTGTAAGGGACTAACTGCATCCGAGGTTATTTTGCAACTTTCATTTTGAAAAGTTCCTGCTAAAACTAAAACCATCAGAATCTGAGGTGTGCAATGAGCCTGTTTGTGATGAAAACAATGTCTGAGTTCTGTCCAGGGCTGAGTGTGCTTGGGCAAGTTGTAAATACAGTAGTTTGTACTCCTTTGTGGGAAAGGTCTTGCTCATTTGTGTGCAGCCATTTGAGTCTGGGGAAGCTACTTGAGTGTGGCTGAAAACAGCACTTTTCCTTTGCTGTGTTTGTTGAATTAATTTGTCTTTTTCTAGGGCATTACCTGTGCTGTCCAGGATAAATTTGGGACAATAGGCAACTTGGACTTGCAGGACACTTTTTGTAGCTGACTGATTTCTCTGTGTACAGAATTGAGCCAGTGGTGGAGAATTAAAGCAATTTCTTCAACCCCTACTAAACCCTGCAATCACTCAAAGTCTGTACATGAGCATTTATTTTAAAATGCAGTTTAGTTTTATTTCAGTATGTTCCTGGAAGGTTTTGCAGCAGTGACTCAAAGCACTTTACATTCTGTGTACAGCACTGACATTTAAAATGCTATAAAAAGAATTCATCCCTCTTCCCTTGCACTGCTGGAGAAATGTTAAATTTTGCAAATACACATATTGTCTTGTTTTTTTCCATGTTTATATACTTCCTGTTTTTGTCAGGTAATTTTTGAATTAATGTCTTTTCCCTTCACCTTTTGAAGCAAAATTGCTTCATGTACAAATTCCCAACCTCAGCATTTCAAGGGTGAACTGCTTTGGGTGATCTAGAAACTGTTTCAGTTCTGTGGGCTTGATGTGTGGGAAGAGGAATTACTTATTTTTCTTACAGTTCTGATTTCCTTAGTCTTTACCAAAGTGTGGTTTCTTAATCTTTATATCAAGAGTTTAATTCTTCTTGCATTTACTTTGTTGCCACAGGTACGCTGGAGCACACAGACTTTTTAGAAACCTAAACAATTAGTTTTGAGTAACATCTGCAGGAAAAAAATGGCTGTTTGTTACAAATTCGTGATATGGAAAAGAAGCTTCTCCCTGAAAGGCAGATAAGAGTAAAATACCTCTCTGTGATGTTGTATCAAAAATGCTCAACAAAAGAGGCAGATTATTGTCTGTTTTGGAAATACTCTGGTATGTCATGGCTTACAGAGGAGGAGTCCAATAGTTCATCCACTTAAGAAAAGAAAACAGCTGCTTGTCTGTTCTCTCTGGAATTCTGTGGGCTTTAGAGTTTCCAAAATACCAAACTGAGTTATGGTTATTTGAAGGTGATAGGGGAAGAGCAGCAAAGCAAAGCTGTCGTGGCAGTTGAGTTGGTAAAAGCTGCTCCTGCTCTTCCAGTAAAGCAGATCCACCAAATGTGTGCATCTCAGGAGAGCAAATATTTCATTAATGGCTTTCTGATAGATGAGAGGCCTCGTCCTGTTCATCTCTTTGCCATTGCTGTGGGATGCAGTGAATGGATTTTAGCTCATCACATGTCTCATAGCAGGAAAAACGTGCAAGCATATTCAAAGCATCTGTTTTTATATAAAAAAACTGCTTTCTCTTCACTCTCAGCATTCCCCAGACATATTCTGCAGCTGAAAGCTGGGTAGCTGCATTAACTTTCTAGTTGTATTCCAAACTTCTGCTGTGGATGAAAATTGAGTTGTTTGTGTTACTAAATCAAAAGACAGGATACATTTAATTGTGATGAGAAGCATATGAGGTATGTGATGTCTTTTTCAGCCATTTCATTCTAATGGTTCCTTTGAATAGGTCGTTCATTTCAGGTGGAAACCACTGGCTTTACACATTTCTCTGAAATATTTTCATAGAAGAGGAAACTGGAGAGCCACAGTTCTGTTGAAACCATTCTGTGGTGTGTTTGTAGATAATCTGATAATCTGCTTTTAGAACAGGCAGGAAACTAAAACTACTTAAAGATGAGTCCTTATGTGCAGCTTGAGCAAACAAGTGCAGGCACACCTCAGAACACCTTGAGTTGGCTGTCAAAAATGATTTGTATCCTCACAGCTTTGGTTTTCTGAGACCTTGGTTCCTTACTGCAAAGGAGGAGTTGTGAGAGTCTGCAGATGAAGCCTGGTGAGTAGCTGATGTGTTGGGGTTACACAACTCTCTGTGATCTTTGCTGAGTTGCACTGTGCCTGTGGAACTTGGAGATGCCATACATGTTGAGATTGTATAGAGAGATATATTTAGCCCTCAGAATTCTAGAGGGATCCTGCTTGCCTGTTAATGAGCCTTCATTATTGCTTTAATTTTAGAATGTGATCTCTGGTTCTGCAGAGGTCTGGTACTCTCCAGTGCAGTTACAGGCATTTAGTTCAGGGAATATAACAATTAGCCCTTAATGAGCAGCTGACCTCATTCTCTCCCTCAATCACATGCTCTGCACCCGAGAAGAAAAGATCACAAAGCCAAGAACTGAAGTTCAGACTGTAAGATCAGTGATGGAAGTGAAACAGTTTGGACATGAGGCAAGAAATCTTTTGCCATCCAGTTGTGCTGTAGTGTTGATGTGTCTGAGGTGCTGGTCTGGGGCTGGGTTTACCTGAAATCCTTGAATTTAAATCACATATTTCATTACTAATGTCTAATTCTTTCCTACTTTGACAAGAAGTGATGGGAAAGGGACAGAATTTCTTCAAACTGTACATAGACTTGGCAAGGGCTAAAAGGCTGAATTTACCAGAGTTTAAAAGCAGCACACATTCATGGTGTGGTTAGAAATTGCCTAAATAATGCATTTACTCCTGTCATGTGCTGATAACACCTGCAATACTGGCAGTGTTTCTGATTCTGAAGATTTCTAGATCATGGGAATTCTGGAATTGTGAAGCAGAAATAAAAGAGGGACTGAGGACTGCTGGCAAATATCAGTGATCTCTATTGAATCGAGGTCCTTCTGCTGCTGCTGCAGCTGATTACAGAGAGATTTTTGATTAACTAGGACTTTCCCCCCCTCCTTTCAGTAACTGTCTTCCTCATTAAGCCTCTTTGTGTGGTGATTCTTCCCTTCTTGCTTTTCAGGAGCTCAGTGATGTGGAAACTGATCCATCCAGGGCAGAAGCAGACAGGATTTCTGATTCAGCAAACCTTATTCCCTCAATTAGATCTCAGTGGTAAGGAAATCTCAAAGGCTGTGTCTGCTATTGTTGTTCCAAGTTACACAAACATACCACAACCAAATGCATTTAAAACCCCCAGATCTGCAGTCTCCATGGGTCTTAAATTTAGTGACCTTAGGAGGGCTTAAACTCAGTATAAACCTATGATTTCAAACTAAATAGCCTTAGTTGGTTAAAATGTCTTTGGAAGCTGGTTAAGAGGAAGCAAGGACGTATAGAAGACTGGGTGTTTGGGGAGCAAATAAATAATAAAATACAGTTACTTTGGTGCAAAGAACTTAGGGAAAAAATAAAATGTTCACCTGGGGAACTTCAGTGTAACAAATATTAAGAAAATCCCTTTGTCCAGTCCATGGCTATCACTTGATGTAACAACAAAATAGAATAATCTGTGTTTTCACTCACTGGCTTGAGCCTGGCTTTGCTTTGCAAAGTCTGGGATACGAACGTGGGTCCACAGTGGATGTTTACTCTGTACAAGTCTCCCTTTCCAAGAGCTTCCAGAGGGGCAAAGGACTTTGTGAGTTTGAGGATCAGATTCCTTTTGTTCCCCTACCATCCCATCAAAACAGCAGTGTGGCAAATAGGGTGATGGTTTGGGGTAAAATCCTGGAGCCTGATAAATCTAAAGTGTTCTCTGCACTTCCATGTGGGTAAACTGTTGGTATGAAATTTTTTAGAAGACCTCTTCAGGTGCTCAGAGCTTCTTTTATTTCTCACCCACTCTCCTGGGGGTGGATGTGGGCTCTAATCATACTCAAATTCACCTCTAGGTAAAAATAGGGATATTTCCTGCCCTCTGTATTTAGAGTTTAATATATCCATAATGCCTCATAACTTGAGCTGTGGGGAGCGTTCTTTGCTCTGTGCTGTCAGTGGGCTCATCTCTGTGGTGCTTTAGAGCTGGGGGTTTGCATGGAGAAGAGGAGGAGGAGGAGGGGGAAGATGAAGCTGTTTATTTCAGCATCTCTTACCACATATTCTTGCACGGAGCACCTTGGCAACCCACTGAGCATCACGTTCTCCTCACATGGCTGTACTCCGGCTGGGGGACTCATTCCGCTTAAACTCGCAGATCATCATTTAAAGAAATGTTTAAAAGTGAGGTGTGAGTTGGTGTGAGTTTGCCGAGGAACGCTCCTCGCTGTGACAGCAGCACGAGCTGGGTGCTGAAGAACGACTTCCCATCACTGCTGAGCTTTGCTTTTGGCACCGCTGCTGGGGACGATTTCCACACGCAGAACAAAGGGGCAGGAGAGCAGCACTCGGGCGTGTGGGTACAACAGCGATGGGCAGTGTGAGAAACGCCCCGTCCTCCCAGCCAGCCCGGGGCTGTGAAAGGCAAGAGATGCTGGTGGCGCCCTGGCCAAGCGCTGCGGCGCCGAGCTCAGGTGTCCGTGAGGAGCCGAGGGAGCCCCGCAGCGGGAGGGGCGGCGCTGGCAGCGCTGGCCGCGTGTGCCAAGGCCCGGCTCTAAATCCGCCTGCGGGAAGAGCTGCAGGGCAGATAAAGGAGTGCGGAGCCGGGCTCTGACAGCCCCGGGCCGAGCAGCAGAGCTCAGCCTGCCCAGCACAGCACTACCATAGTAGGAAGCAGCCACCAATCCCAGTGCGTTACCGCGCCCTCCACCACCCTACAGAGCTGCCCGACCATGGAATCCGACCCTTGTATTTTTAAACCTCGCACTGCTGCCTTTGAAGGGTCTCAGACGTGTCACCTCATTTGGATAACGCTGTTTGCCAGCAGGGTGCTGCTATCAGGGGCTGGAGGCTAAGAGACATTACATTTAATGTAAAACACATTCTTAAGTTGTCTCTTATTCCAAACAAAATCTGGTGTTTGGGCTTTGGAGCAGAGCATTACAGGACACTTGGAAATTCCAGCTTTTACCCTGGGAGTGCTTTAGCCTTGCCCAGCAGCAGCCTTGTGAGCTCATGGCAGAACAGCCCAAACTGCCGAGCACTCCCAGCAGGAGGCTGGTCGTGTGGTTTGGAGCAAACACATTTGGCTCATCTTCCTTTTGCCTGCAGAAAGGAGCTACTTTAGGCTGGGGCAATTTAGAAAATAGAAAAGAACAAAAAAAAAATAAAGATGTAGTTGGGAAAGAATTGTTTATTTTACGTTTCTCAGAGGGATTTTACAAACAATGGAGCATTTTAAAAAAACTGAGTGATCAAAGTACTTGACAGTGTCCCTTAAACACACACACAAGCCCCTGGACAGAGGAAATCACACCAGCGAGGAGGTCAATACTGCCGAGGAGCAGCTGCATCTGCATAGTTCTAGGAGGAAAGATTGCAATGGTGTTGGTGCTAAAAAGTGTCATCCTGGCATTAAAATAAGAGAGCACTGCAGTGCCTGAGCACGGACCTGCAGGAAACAAAGTGCATCAAATAACACGCCGAGTACGTATTGTAGAATAAATTTATTTACCTGATACAAATGAAACTAGGTGTGATGCTCCTTACTGTCAGCATGTCAATAGACAATTGATCTTATTTACAACTTCTAAAGGTCACACATGCAGCTGTGGGAACTGGCTACGTCGTCGTTGCTTTTTAGATAAATGCATCACGATATTTTGTATTGCACCAACATCTGTCTTACTGCCTTAAGATTTAAATAAGTTACATTACAGTGCAAAAGAGGTTGATTTGCACAGATGATAAAAAAATCCAACGTTATGAAGTGGAGGCTTACGGTTTAACATTCATCTGTAATCGTTTCCATGGATTTATAAATAGGAGAGCATTGTACAGAAGCTGTTGGAGTAGGATGTTTGGATGATACAATACAGAGAGAGATCCGTCTACAACCCAAGGCATGCATTATCTGATATTGTACATTGTATAAACTGACATTTTACATACAGGAATATGGAAATTGGCTGACAGCTCTGCAATTCTTGTTCAAGGATAACCAAACTCTTCTCCATGCAGCACAGAAACCCAACTTCTCTGGAGAGAGTTCCGACTTGGTAAGCTATATTGCACGTTTGTACATCTGTATCATGAAGTCCTAATGGTACCACACATTTCTTCCACAGAGAACACAATGAGTTTTGTTTTTAGGGAAAGCAAAGAATCTTTACACGATACATGCAGAAGTTTTGGTAGATGTGTTGCTAAAAACACATGCACGCAACAAAACAACCTTACATTTCTGCAAAATTGTTTAGGAAGCGATTACTCCAGTATTGCTGAAAAGGAAAGAAAGAAAAGGCATCAGTTAATGAAAGGATGAATGCTAAGTATCATTATACAAGCAAGACTAAGATCAACAGTGACAGAAGAAAGAATGTTAAGTTTGGTAACTGGCTGCTCTGTCATTGAAGGGACACTCTCAGGTTACTTTGTTCTTGAAGCTCAGAATCCTCTGGATTAAGGCTCAGCTCCCTCGATTATCAGCAGAGCCAGCACTTCCTACTCAAGACTGCAGTGAAAAACAATTAAGACATGTTTAATTAGCTTTTGCCTTTCTCTGCCTGACCAGTGGCAACAGACAATTCTCACTTTGGAATTTTGACTTTCAAGTTCCATACTAAGCACTTGATTTTCTAATTGAGGCATTATGGCAAGTTTGGCCCCAAAGTGACCTAACAATGTCCCTTTTCCAAGCCAGGCAGCTTGTTCTGGGAAGCAGTAGGAAAGCTTTGAAGAAGTCATTAAACTACATGGATTAATGTGTAGGCAAAGGGTAGAGTACAACGTCCTAAAGCTCCTGCTGTACTTCACCCCTACACAGCATAAGGTCAGCCTTGTGTCTGGAGAGATTGCTCTGAGTCCCTACAGCTCCAGGGAAGCTCTTCCAAACACTGCTTCAACACTAAAATTTGGGCTCTCCTGCTAAGATTTGAAAATGCATATTAATGCAATTAAGGATGTAATTAGCAGAGATTAGGGAAACAGTTAATGGTTAGAAGTGTAAAAAAGTAAACAAGACAGGTGCAAGAGACAGACGACTCTATTGGTTTTACCTCCCTCCAGCTCAGCAAATTCAGCCCCTTGGGCTGTGTACCATGAACTCTGGGCTCGAGCTGTGTCTCAGGCTGGCACTGCTGTACTGCATTCTATCATCAGATTAAAAACTCAGTTTCGTACCAGGAACCTCCCCAACAGCCTCGCTACCAACACAAGCCTCGGAGCACTTTGACAGACCAGTAGAAATGTTTTTCTGCAGCCTTTTTCATACTCATTTATTTGCAATAACGTTTTGGGAAACCAAGTATGAACTATTTTTATTGCTCGGATGCCAGCAAGAAGGAGCAGCTCATTGTGTAGCTCAGCACTTTGGATTGCTCACGTGTGAAAGCAGAGAGAGCCCAAGGCACTGCAAAGACAAAAGCTCCTGTCTAAAAATCCAATGCATGACTGCAGCTGCCTGAGCATCCTCCTTGCTACAGAACACAGGATTCAGGAGGAGCTGCTCTCCTTCCAAACCCCAGTGGGTTTCCAGCACAAGCCAATATCCTTCCTGGTGTTGCCAGCATAAGGCAGCATCAATCAAACGATTGATCCTGGTCTTACACACCCCTCTCACAGTAGAGAATAAGCAGTGATGTGTGAGGGCACCAAGGAATCCAGAAAACAGCAGAGATGAAAAAGCTCGGTGAGATGGGAGCAAAGAGAAACAAAAAATATGAAGTTACTTTGTAAGAATGGAGTGGGAGATCAAGCCTGGGGAATTCTGAGTCCTGCTTGAACGAGGGCTGCTGTTTTTATGTTCTCTGGTCTAACA